TGACCTCTGCAGCGGCTCCATGAAGACCGACGGAGAGTCGGTGACACCTGAGAGTGAAGACAAGCCTATCAAACAATCTGCCCTCCAGACCCGCAGTGACTAACGGAGGAAAGCCACCGCATCGATGCCTATTACACCAGCCATCTAGTGAACTTTAATGACATTTAAATGCAATTTTAAAGCTGCAGGGAACACAAATGGCTTTTGCATGTGCTATTTTGTGTGTGATTATTATTGACTGATAAAAACACTCGTGACACTGAATGCAAGATTAAACAGATTTAGCTTGCTCACTCTGTTATTATACACTAAGATTAGACAGAGGGGGAATACATAATGTGAAACACCTTAAAAAGACATTTGTATTAGCATGAGATATGTAAGATGTCTGTTTGCACATAAGCATTAGATGGTAGAAACAAATCAAACATATATTCACAATTTGACCTATTGTGGGAAATAATAATGGAAAATGCAAAACCTGTATGGTTAAATGTGTATTTGGTTGTCATTTCAAACTTTCTTGTGCATTTTTTTATTTGTAAAATGCATTATTATTAGTATTATTATCATCATGACTGAGTAACATGAGTACTAACAGTGTTAGCTCTGCAGTGCTGTTAAGATCTGCAGGTGTTTTGAGCTCGTTGTTTCTCTTCCAACCTTCATGATCCATTCAGCCTCCGCGTTTTACTCTCCAAATGGCTACTTTTATTATTATTAATTAGCCAGGTTAATTAAGGCCACATGCTCGCGATGGCACAGGCCTGGCAGAAGCACACAGTCGTGGGTCGGTGTTAGAGATGATACACATACTGATGATGTGCAGATATACTGAGCAGTCTGGATAAACAAGCGTCTGTTCTGTTCAGAGCTTGAGTTCTGTTCCTGAAGTGAGCCTGCTTGATCCATCACATACAGGACATTCCCGGTTCAGTAATAATAATAATAATCATCATCATCATTCTATTTTATTCTTGTGTACCGCTAAACTTTTTGTGTGGTAATTGTTGTTTCTAAAAAAAAA